GTCACACTTGGTTTGTGCAGTGTTGGGAATCAAACCTAGGACTTTTTGAATATTAGGCAAGAACCCTACCAACTGAGCTACATCATCTCTTGTTTCTTTGTAACATGGTCTTGCTGGTGTAGTTCAATCTGGCCCCAAATTTGTGATTTCCCTCACTTCAGCCTCCCAGGTGCCAGGATTACATAGTATATATGCTACCATTTCCAGCTTCATGCTATCCTTTTAATATGCAATTTTAAAATAACTTTTTCTTTGTGTTTCTCTAGTCTTTAAGTGTAATTGAAATTCAGTACTTTGATAGGAGGTTGGGGGATAGCACACATCTTTAATCCCAGCACTCTGGAAGCAGAGGCAGGTGGATCTCTGAGTTCAAGGCCAGCCTGCTCTACAGAGTGAGTTCTAGCATAGCCAGGGCTACACAGAGGAAAGCCTGTCACTATGTACAGAAACCCTGCTATAAAAAAGTTTTAAGGGTCTGGCTCAACCAAGTCCCTGTAAGTTGTCCTTTGGCCTCTATACATGCTTTGACACAGACATAAGTAAATGTAAAATAATAATAATAATAATAATAATAATAATAATAATAATAATAATAATAATAATAAATCAAAATAAAATTCTTTAGTTGTGTGTTACTTTTAATGCAGTGAGATTTAGATGCCAGGTGTGGGGTGGCAAGGCATAGGCTCTAGAAATGCACCCAGCCTGGGTTATAGTCCTGAAACTAATCTTTTTCTCTAGTTTATTAGCAAGCCACCTAGTTGTCTTTACTTCTGTTTTCCAACCATAAAAATGCATAACACAACTTGGAACAATCAAGCAAATGATCTGTCTCTTCCTTGATAAATACAACTATAAGCCAAGGAGATACTACAAAGCAGTCAAGAATTCTGAAGACTAGACAGAGGAAGGTGATGGCGAGTGTGACAGACATGCAGACCAAGCCAGCAGGAGGATGTCTCACTGTCTTAACCTGATGCAAGCCTTCTTAGCAACAGAAGGTAGCCCTCTCATAGATTGCATGGGACTTGTGCCAACAATACTAGGTAGGCGAGCCAAGCAAACCTGGCAGGAATTGATTGGAAGCTCTGCTAATATCAGCTGACTGCCGGGGCGGTGCTCTCCCTCCCTCCAAGAAGAAATCAAGGTGGGAGTGACAGGGGGCTTATGTCTCCAGTCTGGCCTAGGAGATTGTTTTTAAGACACCTCAGGGGGCGGGGTAAATGCCTGCCTTTCTGTGTGGCACTGGCTAAGAACCCGCCGAATTCTGCATTCCTACTGCAAGAAATTACAAACAGCCATGTGTGCTGGCACATGTGTATGAGCCTAGCACTTGGGAAATAGAGGTTGGAGAATTAGTAGTTCAAGGCCAGCCTCAGTTACGAAAAACCATATCTAAAGTTTAAAAAATAAAAAAAAAGGAAGAAGAAAAATTCAAAATTAACTCAAAGCATACAAAAGGGAGCAATTTGTAAAGATGAGAGCACAAATCAGTGTAACTGGAGAAAGCGAAGAAAAATCAGTGAAAAATATCTTGTTCTAAAAGAAAAGGCAATACAATCGATAAAATGTTTAACGGAACTGACAAGAATACAGGCACAAGAGTTGGGCGTAGTACCACATGCATATAATTCCTGCAGTGGAGATACTGAGGCAGGAGGATCATGAGTTCTACGTAGCATAAGCTGCAGAGTGAGGGCCAGTCTCAAAGAACAAAAGCAAATTTGTCTCTATTAGGGGAAAGTAGATATTGCAAATCCCGCAGCTGTTAAGATATACGAGATTTTATGAACAACTACATTCATAAACTTTTGGTGATTTAGAAGAAATGGAATAACTACTTAAAACTCACAAGTGATAACACTCAACCAAGATAAAATAAATAGCATGAATACTGTTGAACCATATTAAAGAAATTTAATTTGTAACTTACAGGTTCCTGAAAAAAATCCAGGTTCAGCTTATTTTACCAGAGAATTCAAAAGAATTAACACTAATGTTAGTGTCTTCTAAAGAGAAGGAAACAAAAGAATACTTCTCAAGTTTTTTTTGTAAGGCCACTATAACCCTAATACCAAAACAAAGACAAAGAAAACTACCAGCCCATTGTCTTTTTTGTTGTTGTTTTGTTTTGTTTTTTTGTTGTTTTTTTTTTTTGTTTTTTAATAAACATAGACTCAAAAATCCTCTACTAGCTACTAACATACCTTTTATGTTATGTTCCTTAATACATGAAAAAGTATACTCAGTGCCCAGGGGGCTCTATTCCAGAGACAGAAGGTTAATTCACAGATGGGGTCTACCAAGGCAGTAAACTAAAGAAGTAAATAGCATATGGTTTTGTTGGTTTATTTTTTGAGGCAGGGTCCTGCAGCTAGGCAGGTGCTCTACAATTTAGCAGTGTGCCCAGTTCTCATGATGACTTGTGAGGAAAAAAAAAATTTTTGTTTTTTTGTTTTGTTTTTCAAGACACAGTTTCTCTGTAGCCTTGGCTGTCTTGAACTTGCTTTTTGTAAACCAAAGCTGGCCTCAAACTCACATTGATCCACCTGCCTTTGCCTCCACCACCCTGAGTGCTGGGATTAAAGGCATGGGCCACGATGCCCCGGCTGAAGAAAAAATTTTTAAAGACTGTTCAACAAAATCCATTGTCCATTTCTTATAAAAACTCAAATTATGAATAGAAGTGAACTAGTACCTTGGTGAAGCATACCTACAAAAACTTAAGCTAATGATTTTTGTGTATGTGGTAAAGAACTGAATACTTTTCCCCTGAGACCAAGAGCCAAGCAGTGATGTGGGTTTCATCACTTCTGTTCAGATTATCACTGAAACTGTAACCACTATGATGAGCCAAGAAAGAAAATACCTATAGGAACTCAATCTGTCCCTGATCAAATGATATCATTGTATATATATGCCTCTTAGAGCTGACAAGGAGTTTGGTAGAGTCTCAGGATACAAGATCAACACACAAGAATCAATTGTAGGGTTGGGACTGTAGTACAGTTAAAGTGCAAGGCTCTGGATTCAGTCCCCCGTACCACAGAAAATAAATTTATTGCCTTAATCTGAGTTTGGTGGCACACACCTGCAGAGAAAGGATCAAGAGTTTGAAGTCAGCCTGAGCCACATTGGAAGATATTCTCTCAAAAACACCAAAACAAGAGCAAAGCCCTGTCTCAAAAATAAAACTTTAGGAAAAAATCTCCCATACAGGTATTAGGAGTTAGGCTTTAACAAAGATTCCCCCCCCCCCCCCCCCCATGAAAAGCTCTGGAAACTAAAACAGTCATTGTAGTAGTTTGAAAGAAAATGGCCCCCGTAGGCTCACAGGGAGTATCACTATTAGTAGTGTGGCTTGGTTGGAGGAAGTGTCACTGCCGCTGGGCTTTCAGATCTCAGATATCCAAGCCAGGCCAATTGCTTACAGTCTCTTCCTGCTGCCTGCCGATCTAGATGTAGAACTCTCAGCTCCTTCTCCAGCGCCATGTCTGTGTGCATGCCACCATGCTTTCTAGTATAATGGACTAAACCTCTGAACTGTAAGCTAGCCCCAGTTAAATGTTTTCCTTTTTAAGAGTTGCCTTGGTCATGATGTCACTTCACATCAATAGAAACCCTAACTAAGACAGTCTTAAAGTACAAGACAACTCTACTCTTATTAAGGCCTGTTTTATAACTGTTCTAATCAAGACATTGTAGGAATAGAGAAATAAATGAAAATGAATAAAAGAATTCAGAAGCAGATGCATACAGAAAGGTTCCACTGCTGTCTACAAAGATAGAAAAGCTTCCTGGCTATTGTTTCTGAGGAAAAGGCGGGCCATATTAGATGATGTGATGGTTAGTACTCTGTCAGCCTGACGGGACATGAAGTCACCTAGAAGACAAACCTCTGGGCATGCCCATGAGGAATCTACACTAGCTTAATAGGTTTGGAAAGACTCACCCTAACCTCCAGACATACAAAAATAGATGCTCAGCAGCAGTCAGCAGCATTCTGCTTCCTGACTGGGCACAGTGAGAACAGCTCCCTCGAACTCCTGTCCCAGTGAAAGTCTTTAATTGTGTGGATTACCATTTTGGGAATAAGAAAAGGTAGCAAGCCGGGGCATAGTGGCACAGGCCTGTAATCCCAGCACTTGGGGAGGCAGAGGCAGGTGGATCTCTGAGTTAGAGGACAACCTAGTCTACAAATCAAGTCCAGGACAGCCAAGACTACACAGAGAAACCCTGTCTTAAAAAAGCCAAAGAAAGAAAGAAAAAGAGAAAAAAAAAAAAAAAGGTGGCAAACAAGTGTGACTTGACTGATGGCCTGTATAAACAGCTTATCAGTTGACATCGTGTGTAAACAGTTATTTTTAAACTTTCTTTTAAAACTTTTTGTAGTTTAATTTTATTCTATTTAAGATTCAAGAAACAAATTCTGTTCCTAGCCAGTGAGCTTCGTTTCCAGTTGTTAAGACTATTTGCATTTTCTTGTTAATTTGGAATCATCATCAATAATGATTATTAGTTTAATTGGCAGATTTTCTTTTAATATGTAAGTGTGCATCTGATAGTTAATGGCAGATTGAGTTTTAAAACTCTGTGTGTGTGCGTGTGTGCATGCGTGCATGTGTGGGTGTGTATTTTAACTGGGGATGACACCAGCACCCTAAGCTATATCCCCAACTGACTATTAATTTTATTTTGAGACAGCCTTCCTTAGTTGCCCAGGGTGGCCCTGAGCTCGAACTCCTCCTGTGTCAGCCTCCAGTGCAGCAGGGATTCTAGATGTGTTAACAAGCCTCACCTGGTTTTTGTTATTAATGTCTTGAGTGTTTTACCTGATTTTAATGGGCCTTTGGGGGAAGGCTCTGTTTCATTTTATTCCTTTTTCTTTAGAGTGATTACAATCATTTGAGGATCTGATGGCCAATCCAGTATTAAATTGTTCATGAACTCAAACTTGAAAACTTAATGCTTATCTTTTTTTTTTTCCTTTGTTTTTCAAGTGTCAATATACAGTATCTGGTTTTATGACAAGAATGACTGTCACCGCATAGCAAAACTCATGGCTGAGTAAGTATTTATATTATTCCATAGATAATGAGAGGTGAAACATTACTCCGATCCCAGCTTCTCTTCAGTTACTAACGTCTCCTCGTTAATGTAGCCCTCTTAATTTTCTTTTTATTTCCAAAAGTTTGACAAAGGCAGAATTTCTTTTCTTTTCTTTTTTTTTTTTTTTTCTTTTTTTCTTTTTTTTTCTAAAATTACCTACTGGTCCAGATCCTTTTTAATTTATGTATGTGTATACATTAGATTGATGTGTGTGATTGTTATTTACAAATATAAGAACATCTGCTTGATGAGCTAATGTCAACAACATCTTTTTAGGTTATTGAATTTTCCTTTGTAGCACTACTTCTGCCAAATCAAAGTTCTGTTACTCTCTCTCCTCAAGGTTTGTATCTATGTGTTTGGAAGAAAATAATCCTAATTCTTTAGCTGTAAGGTTTTTTATTGTTTAATTCTTTTTTATTTTTTATTATTATTAATTATACTTTATTCACTTTGTACCCCCCCATAAATCCCCTCCCTCCTCTCCTCCCAGTCCCACTCTCCCTCCCTCTTCTCCATGCATGCCCCTCCACAAGTCCACTGATAGGGTAGGTCTTCCTCTCCTTCCTTCTGATCCTAGTCTATCAGTTCTCATCAGGATAACTGTAAGTTGTAATTAAACATCTTGAAAGTATAATAGTTTACACAGTAATTTCAGTTGTGAGTATGCTTACATGTCTTTAGAGGGTACACAAACAAAGGCCAAGTTATAACCCCGGACTACTGGTGTGTCCTGGCTGATTATCTACTTACTGTTCAGTCCTCTGCTGAACAAGCAAACTCTGACTGTGAGCTTACAAGGCAGACCTGTTGTATTTACTACTAGTTGTACCTTACAGGGCTTTGCTTCCTGTAAGCTAACAGTCAGTCTTACTAGAGAAAATATTGGCTTTCTGAAGCAATATTTGTGAAGTTATACTACTTTACAACAGTGTACTCATTTAGTTTATAAAGATAAAGGTTTGTGCTGCTCATGGTTATAGATATGGTATAGCTAGAAGAGGTTCTGGGGTATGGGCTGACATGCACAGGACCTTGCTGCATTGTACTAGTGGGCCACATCACATGAGATAACAAAGTGCCAGCTCTGAGAGTCTATCTTACAAAGCCACCAGTACCATTCTAGGGCCCCTGCCTCATGACCTCAACCAAGGCATTTATTTGATACTTGCTTCTTCGTTTTGTTTTGAAAGAGGCAGATGTTTAGGAGACAAGTATTTAAACTTTGGAATATATCGATAGATTGATATTTCCTTCTTCTGCCAAATTAGAGCATTTTAGGCCTGTATGAGAGAATCTGTCTGTTTGAGCCCTGACAACTACTGAGGGAAAATCATCTTAAAGTTTTTTTCTGAGAGCCTTGGTGGCACTCCAGATACTAAACTTCAGTAGCTATTAGAGCTAAAGATTGAAGGCCCATCTGAAAAGACTGTTAATCCCTGAAATAGATGTGGAAATGGCAATTGAAGGAAGTCATAGAAGTGATTACAGATATCTGTAATCTCAGTGCTTAGGTGCTAAGGTAAAAGAATTGTGAGTTCAAGATCAGCCTTCGTGACATAGCACATTTTCGACTACATAAGAAGGGAGACCTGTGTCCCAAAAAAGTGATTAAAGGGTGCCCAGCTGTTAATGTGGTTGACCTATATATATCTGAAGAGAATGCCTCACAAATGTTGCCACTAGCTTCGGGATTAATGACTGTTCAGCAAAGATGAAGAAAAATAAAAAAGGAAAAACCCATCTTTCATTATTATATATCTGCCTGCATATACCTCTGTCCTTTATGTAACTCAGAGTATCACCCCACTAACGAACAGTGCTGTGAAAACTGTGCTTAAAGCTGAGAAGCCATGTAGGAAATTGACTGCCTAAACTTGTACTCGATCTAAAATGTGGATCTTCACTTTGGTCAATGACAGTATTCTAAACTTAACATACAAACTTAGAGAGCTTGGGAAGGGTACATGTTTTGAGGGTTTGAGAAGGTGCCTTAGGTACTTTCAGTTGTTATAAAGAAACACCATGACCAAGGCAACTTACAAAAGAAAAAGTTTATTGGTGCTTAAGTTTCTGAGGCTGAGTCCATGACAGTTATGGTGGGGGAGCATGGTGGCAGACAGACATCATGCTGGAGCAATAACTTCCAGCAAGGCCACACCTCCCAGTAGGGCCACTCCCTATTGATCTATTGGGACCTTTTTCTTTTCTTTTTCTTTTT